TTACTGGCAGTTTAAGAAATGTGATCCTCTGGATGCTGGGTGGTTCAGTGGTTGAGCATTTTGCCTTCAGCTCAAGTCTTGATTTCGGAGTCCAGGAATCAAGTCCCACATCAGGCTCCCCACAGGGAGCCTGCTTCTCCCTCTGCCTATGTCTCTGCCTCTCTCTGTGTCTCTCATGAATAAATAAAATCTTTAAAAAATAAAAAGTGATCCTCTACGTTTGCTAAATCTGTAAGAGGAAAATAAGTATACAAAAGCCTCTGTGTAGAGCAGAAAACAAATGGCATATTTGTGTATGGGTATGTTTATGTTTGGAATGTAATAGTAATACATACACACATTTCCATATAGCTGCTCTTGGCTTGTGAAAGGGACTGAAAACAGAAAACAGTTCAAGATCTTGAAGTGTCCTATTCTTTTGGCAGCAGAGAACCAGAGCTTTCAGCACCCGCCACAATAGTTAGATAATGGGCATGAAAGTTTCTTCCTATTTATGGAGAATAAGGCACTTTCTAGGTGAATTATATTTTTCAACTCAAATCAACTTCTGAATTAGTTTAAGTCTTTACACTTTTGGAAACATAAGCATTAGGTTACTACTGAACGAATCACTTGTAATCAAAGCTACTAAATCACTTGTAATCAACCATTGCCATGATTGATGCTTTGAAGACAGACTGTTTTTCCTAGCTAAAATTAAATTTCTAAACAACAAATATCAAAATAATTAACAAATATTAAAATAATTAGGTTATTAGATGACAACCTAAGGTTTGGAGTAACAAAATATTACTACGAATTTAAACACTAAATTAAACCAAGGGGAAAACTAATTTTTTTTTCTTTATAAATAAGAAAAATCATTACAGCTTCTTTCCTTTAAACCATGGCACTATTTAGGGATTATTTCCAGATCCTTTCCATGGACTTCAACTCACCAAACGCAGGCTGGCCTCTACTGAGACCAGAACCTTCTATCCCAAGACTTTTTTCTTTTCTTTTCTCTTTCTTTCTTTCCTTCTTTCTGATTTTATTTATTTATTCATGAGAGACATAGAGAGGCAGAGACATAGGCAGAGGGAAAAGTGGGCTCCCTGTAGGGAGCCTGATACAGGACTCAATCTCTGGACCCCAAGACTATGACCTGAGATGGAGGCAGATGCTTAACCACTGAGCAAACCAGGTGTCCCCCAAGATTTTTCTTAGTAGAAAAGGTGAAAACAAGGGGCCACCAGGAGCAGGTGCTTAAAAATCACATCTGGGACAGAAGTCTATGTAGCAAAGGTCCAAAAAAGGACTGAAATATTCATAAATCCTGACACCAAGGTATCGTCTGGTCTGTCCCAACTGTGTAACACACTAGAAGGAGGAGAATATTCTAATGTAACTTCACACTCATCCAGATGAATGTGGTGTGCACAACACCTGCACACAGAGACAGAAGGGTGGGGAGTGTTCCTGCTGCTTCCCAACCTTGATCCCCGCAGTGGGGAGTGTGGGGTGAGACCCTCTGAGGCTCTCGCAGGCCACCAGGTCAATAATACCAGTGAGTAAAGCAACCATAATGCCAGTAAAATTGAGGGGAACAGAGACTAGCTGAGGACAAAACAGAAGCTGACACCCCACCCTGCAACTCACTCTCACCCCAGGCAAAACTACATCAAAATGATAGTACTTAACAGCAGACAGAGAGAGAAAATTCAACATAAGCTTACATTTTGTTTGTATTTAGACTTATATCCGCCTTGATGAAATACTTTCCTTAACTGTGGAAAAGTCTAGCAGAAGAACTGACCAACGGCAAGTTAAAACTGAAACATTATCAGACACGAAAGGCCTTTCCTTTCCTCTCTCTGTTTGCAGGTTGCCTTTCAATAAAAATCCAACAGAAAGAACTCTTTCTCCATTCACTTGGAAAGCATCATACTTTACCAAAGAAGCTGAGGGGGAAAAAAAAACACACCCTCTAGTTCCATACTGTCATTCATAAAAAATGACTTCCATATAAGCATCATCGTATTGCATGCAGAGACCTTTTGGTAAAATGATATGCAGGACGTTATTCAGACTTAGAAATAGGAAAGCCAGAAGTACACTATGGAACTAAAGTCTAAACCCTTCTCTGGTGGGGGAAGATATCATTTCCTTTGATAATTATGTCTCCCTGTCACTCATGTTTCTTAACATGTCAAAGATTTTTAACGGTACAAAAAACCCAAAATTTCTCCTTTGTTCCCTGTCCACTCCCCCCAAATGTCAACACAACTAATTTGTGATTGCTTTTATTTACAAATGTTATGAAATGAAGTGACAAATAAGACTTAAAACTAAAAATGATTAACTCTTTAATTTTTAAAATACAATTAAAATATTTCTAAATTACTTTAAAATGATAGTCTAACTTTCCTAAATAATATCCTAATAACTATTTTAAGCATATACTTTGATAATACAGGAACTGTTACTGAAAGCCTCTCACATAGTGTGTTTCATTATTTAGAATCTCTTACAAGCCAAAACTGTGAATTAACCAAATTATACAGAGGGGTGGCTGGCAAAAAGTTAACATTTTAAAAGAAAATGAGGCCAACAACTGGAGTTCAGAAATCACACTTCAAGCTAACCAATAGATCACTAATCTCCTTGAAATTACTTGTATCAGAGATCTTAAAAAGCTAAAAACATGTAATTTAAATATATTAAAATATCCATGTCCCCTACCGCAGCACATTGCTCATTAGAGTGTGAAATCCAGCGTTACCACACCATTTCTGCCTGATGAGATAATTTTGGTTTTCTTGGGAATATAATGCCAATACATTTATTTTTCCCAGGAAATAATTCTGCTTTTTATTTTGAAAGAAACTAATATTTGCAATGACCAGTTCCAGGCCTGTTGAATTACAAAAACATACAATGAAAGACTACAATAAGTTAAAGAACCAGTTTATTTTTAAAATATTGTTCAAATCTAGAGCAAGTAAACAATTTTCAAAGACAGAGGCTAAGTGGACCTTTCATTTATACTTTTGCTGACGCCCTCATATTATTCTCGAGTAAAATAACTTAAAACCAACTTTTATAAGATTATAAGCCTAAATAATGTTTCTACTATTGATTTTTATACTTGGTTTATTCCCTTCTCTGTTTTACATAAGTCAGAGTCCTTATTCCAAGAATAGAATCAGGTATTTTAGTGACTGCATAGACCCCCTACCTCTTCATTTTCTTTTAGTTTCAATCTGGGCTTATGGAAAAACTACATCCCCTACCACCTTAAAAGTAGAACTTTCAATAGGTGTTTTTCATGTATTTGCCTGAGCACTATTTTAGACCCTCTCTGTATATAGTTCACTGTGAATAATGTCGGTAAACAAATAAAAATCCAGCTATATTATATCAACACCAAGTTTGGAAGCTTTTTGGTCTATATTATACCGAATTATTACTTTGCCTAACTTCTCACTTTCACCACATAGTTTTGGCACTGCATAGACAAGCTTTGGCATTTATAAGAAGGTAGAATTTAAAAGCAATAGCAAATTACTGCTAATTTCTTCTTGATGGACGCTATTAACACCTATTAACACCAATAAGAGTAACAAGGTTATACTCAAGACAAAATATCAGCCCATTCTGTATCATTAGAAACAAATGGAAACTTGGGGAGGAATTTTAACATACTAGTAAAATATGGAATTCTTTGTGCCCTTCTCTTATGAAGTGAATCACAACCATAAATCAGAAACAGCTTTTGAAAATAAGAATGATTATTAAGCTCTTCTAAAGGCAACTCTGAACTTGTCACTCACTTGGAATATTTCTACCTTAAAAAAAAGTAATGCCTTACATATAATTTCCTTAAGAAAAACAAACACTTTAAAATGCAAAAAAAAATTGTATTTTATTCTAAGTGTAAAAATAAATATTTCACTAAGGAATGGGGAAAAAAATGAAGCACATTTAAATAATTTTATTGCACTGGAAGTTGCCAATTCGCCTATGAGTAGTTTCATTGCAGATGAAAAGAAATCAAAATACAGGACAGATGTTGAACAAACCGCATTTAAGTTCTGTCACACACTGGCATTTTTCAAATGATTTTGGCTCATCTATTAAATAAGGTGTGTTTTGCTTGATTTTGAAAAGGGAAACATCAGGAAATATTTAAAGGCCAATTGCTGCCAATTAACTTTGATCAGTAAAAGTTCTATTTGAATCTTTCAGATTCTTCTCCTGTCTGAAATAACATACATTTATAAAATCTACCAAAACAACAACTTGATGATTAATGCCTGTTGGCAGCCCTACCACAAGCTTGCTTAACAGCAGGATTTAAATAAACAACTGTCTCTATTAAGAAGAAAGTGAAATGTAGTTATATGTTTTCTCATAATGGAGATATGAGAAACAATAGTCTTTATTCTTAAGAATGCTGCTAATCGAGATCATCATGTTTGACAGTGCCCGTAACACAATTAACCATCTTAAAAGTTTCCCCCCAAACCATAATGGGCAAATGAAATCATCAGCAGTTTGACCTAAGAAAACCTGGCAGCCCAAAGAGCGGAGGCCGGACTAAAATGTTATACAATTGGGGCAATCAGAAACAAAAGCATGTGACCCAGTAGGATAAAAGTCTGACACAGCATATGCCAGTATCACGACTTCTGGAGGATTCTGAAGGTAATCCATCTCAACAGTAATTATGTAGCTGACGAATCTGTAGCTTCTGATACCAACACAGTTTAATATTTAAGATTCCTGACATCAAATTTTAATCCTTGCCAAGGGTCATGAGGAATCTAACCTTGAAACATAGGAGTCAAAATAAAGCAAAATCAGAAATACCATGAAGGCAAACATCACCATATAATTAATTTATCTCCTTATTCTAGTTATATAGTCACAAAATAATATCTCATTGTTATTTCAAAAGGCCATTCATCAATTTTCACACATGTAACATGAAGTGTGTATATAAAATAATCAGAACTTACTTCTAAGTCATTGAAAAACAGATGTGTGTCTGCCAAGTTGAAAATCATTTCTTCCATTCTCAGTCCAAGGGAAACTGATGTAGGTGGATCCTAAAAGAAGAATTTTTCAGGTCAAGAACATATATATTTCAGGTTCATGGAATATATTGTCACAATAAGAGGGAGTCAGTGACAGGAAGGGGTGAGAGCAAGAGATTCATTGGGCTTCAGCGGCTTTTGGTGTAAGTGACCCATTGTGTGGGCAGACGTCAGGGACTTATTTTATTTAACAAGTGACCCAAATGTTGTTCGTACTTTGCATAAGGAAGAAATGATGTGCTGCTTAGAATATTACAAAAATATAAAATCTAGGGTTACTGAGACATAGAAAACAGAGGAAATTTAGTTTCACACGTCTGTTTCAAAAGCAAGAAATTCAGTGACTGGAGAAGACATTGTTTGTGTTGTGCCACAACCCATTAAGAGTATCTGAAAGCATTGCCACAAATACCAGAAAATAGATATAATATAGATTAATTTCAGAGGAGTAATAAATACTAATTCTACATCAGATGACAACTATCATTGTTTCTTATTTATTCAGACTGCCTGACAATTTTGAGCATGCTCATAGTAGGAAGTGGTACCCTTTCTGACCACCTGGCACCATGCCCAGCACAGTGAGCTGATCCTGACATTCATGCGACACTATCCAGCCCTCAAACAGCCAGTACCATACACAAAGGGAAGTACCAGCATTCTGAGATGTACAGGGGCTTCCATCAAAAACTTCAAGCCTTGCACACTCGTGATGAGCAGTCTGTCTCATACAACCCCATATCCCAATGACATCTACTGGCACTGAGAAGAACTCGGGCTATGCAAATATTTGCAGTGTTTATGGGGTTACTGTATTTGTAATGTATCGAATCCGGGAAACCACATGGCTGATGGTGAAGACCTGCATAATTAGGAAAGAAAAAATGTCCATCAAGGATACAAAGATGGAATGTGAGTTTTTACTGGTAAGGTTTTACTGGCATTCTAACAATATTGGCTTTTACAAGCACGACATTTTAAATATTTTCAGACAATAATTTCTGAAATACTACTTTGTTATTACAGCAAGCCTTTGGACTAAGTATAGAATCTACCGATATCATCATTAACTGGGGAAATTATAACTAGAGAAATCATGCCTTCACGTATTGGTGTACACTGTGTGCGTCTCTACTGTCTGATGTAAACTTTGTATGTTTTGTGCATTGTCTTCTGAGCGTGCTATCTCCATTCCAGAGCTCAAGACTTGCCTGTGTCCTGACCATCTACTCTCCTTGTATCTGGAATCTATTAAGCCCTTGAGTAGTCACCTCAAGTATCATCTCCTCACGGACTTTGGGAAATAGCAGGAAGCAATGACAGAAAAGCTCTCACCTTTGCTCTCCTACTTTGGTGTCCTTACCTCCCTGATCCTCAGTTTGCTCATCTAATAAATCAGACGATTGACTGAAAAACACTTTGTTCTTATGTAGAATTAAAAAAAAAAATTCTTGTCTCTTAATTTGGGACCATCATATCTGTCCATACACCTTGGAGAGAGCAGGGACCTGGGATGTTGGGATGGGGGTAGAGACTGCCTCATTGGCTGCCTGCCACGTGCCAATCAGCTGGCCGGGGGAGGAGCCAACACCTCTCTGGCCGCCCACCCTGCTAGCACCATCCCCATCCCGCCAGCACTCCAATGGTCTACCCGTCAGGAGCCCCAGGGAAGGGCCAGTGGATGGTTTGGGAAAATAGGGCAGGATGACATTGCTGGCCTCAATTCCTGTCTTGCCTAGCTGATTGATACTGGGAAGAAGGCAGAGAACAGTGCTGCCAAAGTCAAGGGTTAGGGTTGGCAAAGGGGCAAAGCAAACTCCCCAGGGTTTATATCAAGACAGAGGAAAAAACAGACCAACTGAGTGTTCAAGAGCACGGTGGGGAAGGACAAATAAAATCACCTCCCTCAGATTTCCTGTTTGATGAGTTCTATTCCTTAGGATTCTTTATATTGTCCCTGTTTAAGGCCACCTAAAATCTGTGAAAGCTTGTGGGTTGTAGAAGAATTGAAAATAGTTCACAAATAAAGAAAAGCTTTCACCGAATCTTAGTTTTATAGGAAATTAATTGCTCACTCACTTGGATTCTAAAACAGTAAAGTGTGCTGGAAAAAGCAAATGCTCAAATAGACCCTAGAGCAGAAATAACCAGTCAGAGAAGTTCAAACAGCTGTTTCTAAAACAAAACACCGGACTAAGGTGTTTACTCCCTCCAGCTCGGGCCAATAAAAATACACTGACTTGTCTCATAACTATGTCAATGAATCTTTTTATGTGGCAAAGTGGAAGAGACACCACATTTATTTAATTGCCAATTCTGGAATTTATGTGCCATGGTATCATTACTTTTGAAAAAAGTATGATTTCTCCTTTGGTAGGGTTGCTTATTTATACCACCATCAAAAGAATTACTCCATTGTTTGTTAATATATAGCATACTTTAGCTTTACTTCATAAATTACAGTAATGACTTACTAGTCAGAATACTAATAAATTTTAAAGGCTTGTTCAATCTTATGGTCAAATACAACACAGATGTTGGCCTTATTTACCTTTTAATGTTTTTCTCCTTTGTTATTAGCTGTCCTTCCTTTAAGTTTTTATACCTGCTACTCCACAGTATAGGTATGAAACATTTACTACAGCAAAAGAATGGTCTGACAGTTGACTGGAAAGAGAATTTTAGAATAGGAAAGGGCTCAAGATGACAACACTGCTTCTCAAACATTTTAAAACCACAAGTCATAGTAAAAAATACATTTTACATGATGACCTAGTATTCTCTCTCTCCTTCTTCCTCCTCTTCCCTCCCCTCCTCTCCCCCCACCCCGCTTCTCACACAAAAAGAGCTGAAATGGTTAATTTGTCAAAACAAGACATTACCCACTGTGTAGAGTGCACGTTGATAGTTTTCCATTTCATGGCCCACTAATGCATCATGATCTATCTAGTGTGAAAAGAAGAGCCCTATGGTACACCCACTTGTGCTTTTAGAGACAGGGAAACAGAGTCGCATCAGTGTTGTGATTTGCTCCTGGTGCAGGGCTGGCAGGGCACACAGCTGCCTCACCCAAAGTGGTTGACCTAAGAGGAAACTAGCAGAAGAGCAAATAGATAACCCCGTTCATAATTTGCTTACACTGGAGTTCTCACATTGAGGTTACATTTATTTTATAAAAATCCTTTAATACTTTCAGATTTTTCAAATATGTCTGATACAAGTCAAATGTGACAAAAGCTAACATTGAACAGTTAATAAATTAGTCATAGCTTGATGGCTTATTTTGGCATATTTAAAGGAAGAAAAAACCCACATTTTTTTAGACCAAAACTGAGACATTAAAATCACCACGTCTTTGGCTTAATCTTACTTTTCTTGTGCTTTGCAATAACAAATTCCAGAGCAGCAGTTATAAAATGGTTGCTTTTATAAAACCATTTTTTGTTATATCACTTTTGAAAAATTATTTAGAACTTTGCCTCCACTTCAAAGAAACATGTCATGTAAGTAAACCTTGTTGCCAAATGTTTCCATTTTTTTTCCTGAACTTGACCCTCTGTGGCACTTGTCACTGTTGTTCAATATCTTCTTGGCATTTCTCCTTTCTGGTGCCTATAACATCATCAATATTTGGGGGGTATCCTTGTAGAATCTGAGTATCCATCATCTATCCCTTAAATGATATGGGTCCCTGGGACTGTTTTATCCATTCCTTACTGTAAGAACCCAACACACTCATGGCTTCAGCCATCACCCTGCTCCCTTCTACTAAAATCTTAGATCTCAACTGTAGGCCCATATATCAATTACCTATGGGTCATTTCTAGGTGGATGTCCCATATAGCATCTGAAACTCAATGTGCTGCAAGTTGGATTCATCATAGTTCCCCAGGAAACCTACTATTTTCCTTCACTAGGAGAATGGCAACCTACCAGCTCCAGGCCTTGGTATTCTTTTAAAGAGCCTCTCTTTACCTCACATCAAATCAATATGACATCTTGCCACTTGGATCTGGAATTCACGTCTTCTTTATATTCACCATCCTCTCCCCACTCCCCCTCCCCCCTGCCAATCATATGCCTCCTCTGTGGATATCTGCCGCAGTCCCTGGGCTCCATGCCCAGGCCCTCACTGAGACAATGTCATTCTCTCATCGCTTTTAGAAAATATCCAAACCCTTCAACAAGTACAAAAGGCCCATAAGTATCTGACTCTTGCTTACCTCCCTAACATGTGGCCAATTTATAGTTTTGCAAAGTGTTTTTTTTTTATCGTGAAATCTTTTCTTAAAGCCATAACAAGGCAGAGGCCTTATATAAAAGAGGAGGGGCTCTCAGATGTTCAACAGATGAATGGATAAAGAAGATGTGATACACACACATATACGTGCAGTGGAATATTATTCAGCCATCAAAAGGAGGAAAGTTTGCCATTTGCAATGACATGGATGGAACTAAAGGGTATTATGCTAAGTGAAGTAAGTCATTCAGAGAAAGAAAATGCAATATGATTTAACTCATATGTGGAATTTAAGAGACAAAACAGACGAACATAGGAGGAGGAGAAAAACAATATAAGATGAAAACAGAGAGGGAGACAAATGATAAATGACTCTTAACTATAGGAAACAAACTCAGAGTTGTGGAGGGGTGAGGGTGAGGGATGGGATAACTGAGTGCTGGGCATTAAGGAGGGCACATGAGGTGATGAGCACTGGGTGTTATTTTCAATAGATGAATCACTAAAGTCTACCTCTGAAACTAATAATACACTAAATGTTAACTAAATTGAATTTAAGTTTAAAAAAAAAGAGGAGGGGCTCTGATGGACATTCCCACCAAGGACCTTAAAAAAAATTAGGGCAAATGACAAGTCTCCATTGGTTACCCACATTAGTATAGTGAGGTCATCGCCCCTTTGATCATTTAAGAGTCTCATCCCTAGTTTTTCCCACCCTGGCCCACTGGCCACTGGGTACCATAGCTGTGTGTGTTCTTGTCTAAGCAGAGCA